GGGGGGGAATGAAACTTTGATTTTGGGTTTTGCCAATCAGATAGGTTTGTTGTTTTAGAAATGGTTATTTTATACTATTAAGTAAAGGTAAAAAGTTGAGGTCTGATGTTATTATCTTATTCTACTGCACCAAAGAGTTAGAAGTCAACGCCTTTTCTTTCTTTTTCTCCTTTCTCCCATGTTTTCCCCTTCCCTTTTTCCTCCCGTCTTTCTCTATTATTTTCTTTTGCATTGCATTAATACATAAATAAACTAAATTGTATGATATTTTTTGTTGAATCTCAACCCGCGAGTGAGCAAAAAACAGAAATGCTAAAACGCTGGTTTGTGGCTGTCTCAGATTTCTCCAATTTGCTCTTTCCTTTTGCGACCGGCCCTGCTCAGTTCATCCATCCCATTATTTGATTATCACCCTACACAATAATGTTAGTAGCGCTGTTCAAAACTGCCTTGGCAGAGAAAGGAAGTAGGAAGAAGAGCAGCAAACCTCCAACTCCCGTTTCTTAGAAATGTATTTTATTTCTCTTAAAATGTTATAACAATCCAAAGCAGAGCTTACCGTATAGTATAAAATCATCGTAACATGTGGGTTATGCATTTCTTTATTGTAAAAAAAGAAGAAGAAGAAACAAAACATTGTTTTCAAAACAAACCAACACCCCAATACAATTCATTTAGAGCATTTACAGATTTGCAGCATGTCTAGTACAGTAAAATGTCTGTTGAATAATTGCATAAATGCTTTTAACCAATCTGTTGGGTCTGTGGGCTTATTTTTCCACTAGCTCTACACCCATGCTTCGCTACGAAACTATGTGGCTAGGCTAAGTTTTTGGGGAGCTAAATAAGGGGGGGGGGATTCTGTCTCTGCCTCCCAGCATCCATCGGTATTCACCTGGCTAGCATCTTGTCAGTGTGTGAGAGAGTTGAGGGCTGTTTGGAAACGGAAACAGTATTTGCTGTGTGAACAAGGAGACAGCAAGGAGCCTGGGCGTGGCTTAGCTCAACTGTTCTGTACTAAAGCTGCTTGGTGCTGCTGTGAAACTAAAACTGAAACTCCTCTCCTCTGCTTGTGTTTTGCATTTGGAAGAGATTTCTTTTTTTCAGGTGGGGAGGGGGAGTAAAACTCCTTAGCATCAGAGCACGTTAATAATAATAATATAGGAAATTCTAATGCTCTGATGGTCAATTTGAAAAATCCTTTCTTAGTGAGCACCTAGAAACCAAGAGGAAGATACGGGCCAAATTTCAAGTTTGTAGGCTTTACGGTTCTGGAGATTTTGTGATGATGCATGAGGGGTATTTCGCTTTTATATATATAGATTACCCAGGTAGTCCTCAACTTAATGACTGTTTGTTCAACAACCCAGGATTATGGCTCTTCATAACAACTACAACAGGGAGAGCCAGAATTGTGTGGGTGCCTTGCTTAACAACACAGTAACTTATGGCCGTAATTCCGGGCTCGATCGTAGATAAGTTGAGGATTACAGTTATTAATAGAACTTCCTTTCAAAGGCACTGGTTCGAATGCTGATTTTTAGATTTCTCCCTATTCTTTTCCTGTAAAAAAAACCTTGGCCAAAATTCCTGGAGTTAAAAGTCAAATGTGCAAGGTACCGAAAACTATCCACAGTTGTCAGATTGTGATGTGTGATCCTGGACTTTTTGATAATACTGATCAGATCGACCGAAAGCGATTAAATTAATACAACGCCAAGAAAATGATTGCATTTGCTGGTTGCAAATGATCATTTTAGCTGCAGTTTTCCCTAATGGGCTTTTTAAAAAGTGCACCAGTAAAATCCATTTCTGTACAAACATTTCCAACGATATATACATATATACACATATACACTCTCACAGGTTTTAAATATTTTGTATCAAATACTTTAGGACAAACATAAATTACAAGGTTCTTCACATAAAAATCTTACATCTGCAATATAACCTTGATCTTACAGAATATAAAAATATCCATTTTTGCCTGTTTTGGCAGAGGGAAGAAACAGGTCTTTGCAAAGGCTGGCATGACAAGACAATGCTGAGAATTGATTAACTGATTGCGGCTTTTGGTTTCCAAAGCTTAATGCAGTTTTTTCTTCTTCTTCTTGTGGACAATTGACCTCCGTGGAATGAAGGGCCAGCTCTTAATGAACAATTTCACAAATCATGCCAAACGTGAAAACATTCGTCAACTACTAACTAAAATGTTAAATGTCTAAGGAGACCCTCAGTCATCCAGCTCATGGTTGCCCCAAAGGTGCTTTTTTAAATTGGAACTGGACTGCTTTTTCAAGGAGGAGGAGGAGGAGGAAAGGGAGGAAGGAAGGGAGGGAGGGAGGGAGGAAGGAAGGGAAGAAGTAGTAGAGGAGGAGGAGGAATGAGAAGAGGAGGAGGAGAGGAGGAGAGGAGTAGTAGAGGAGTAGGAGGAGGAATGAGAAGAAAAAGAAGAGGAGGAGGAAGAGGAAGAATCAGAAGGAGGAGGAGGAGGGGGGAGGAGAAGGAGGAGGAAGAAAGGAGGTGAGGAGGAGGAGGAAAAAGGAGAAGAAAAAGAGAAGGAGTAAGGAGGAGAAAGGAGGAGGGAGAAGAAGAAGGAGGAGGAGGAGGGGGAAGAGGAGGAGGAGGAGGAAGAAGAAGAAGAGGAGGAGAGGAGGAGAAAGAAAGAAAAAGAGGAGAAAGGAGGAGGAGGAGGAAGGAGAAAGGAGGAGGAAGGAAGAGAAAGAAAGAGAAGGAGGAGGAAAAGAAGAAGAGGAGGAGGAGGAGGAGGAGGAGGAGGAGGAGGAGGAG